GGTCTAGGGTTCAATCCCCATTGGTTGAGACATCAAAGAAGACGAAACATATGGCAGACACAGTTGGTAGTTCACATATAACTAGGACATTCACCATAGATTTGCAATTCGATCAAAGAGGCAACATAGAGGGAGGCGACACAAAGATAGGGCCTCGCCGGCCGGTGCAAAAAACGAACTATAACGACCTTGAAACTCGCGAGACCTCCCGAGGCCGAAAATCACCGTTTTGTTTCGTTTGTTACACCACCGCCGCACGGCACACACGAAATCACTCGCGGAAACGGCTTGACGAGGGTTGAGGTGCCTGACTTTCGCAAATGCTAATTTTTTTTTGGACCGACATCCCTTGGACCGACGTACTGCATCCCTTGGACCGACTTGCTGCACTCGCGTGGATTCGCAGCTCCACCAGCAACCTTCGGAGGACCTACGACTTTTTGCGAGTTGCAGGCGGGCATGGAAGGGGCACGTGTGAAGGCTCGCGAATTGCAAATCTGACACACTTCGCGACTTCCTCTTGACAGTTTTCGTTTCTTGACTGTGCGGCGAAACGAATTAGTTTTTTTTCTCTTTTTCGTGTACCGTCCGGCGAGGCCCATAGAAAGGTAAGGAGCTGACATATCAAATGTCCCGAATGCGACCCTGAGGGGTCGTCTTACAATATTCAACAAAGTGACAACCCATCAAGGCTGACAACGTGCAATGATAACAGAATATCGACCGTCGTCAATATCCTGCACAGTAAAAACTCAGTCAGTCAGCGCGACCCGATGCCGCGATTCGACTGGTCGCCAGCCAGCCATCATCAGGGGTCAAAAAGTCCGTCGCGGGAGGACTTGATTAGTCAAAAGAACTTGCTTAAGTAGTCCTACATCTGCGCGTTCACCCAAAACAACACGTTATTTATTAAAATATGACATTATATTGTGTCCTCTTTCTAACGAATTAATTTTTGGCTGCAGCCTAAGCAACGTAGGCATGCCAATCCAGGGGTTAACCACATGCAGAAGCGTGCTGAGATCCATACTTGTGAAACTTCATAAATGAAATCCCAAATGCGGAAGTGTGTTGGGATACTTATTTGTTGAACTTTCAAAAATATGTTGGTGATCCTGTGGGGAAGTGTGTTGGGATCCATACTAGTCAAACTTCATAAACGAATAACGATTGGCACGCCAAAGGGAACCCTATGCGGAAGTGTGTCGTGATCCTTACTTGTTAAACTTCAATTTCATAAATGTGATGAAAGATACAGTAGCTATATTGTGACACTGTCCTCTTTCTTACGAATTCATTTTTGACTGCAGTGTTTGTACATGGGCATGCCCGCCCAGTGACCCTAAATGCGAAAGTTTGCTGACATCCATAGTTATTGAACTTTTGTAAACAAAATTAGCAATGTAATTAGATTGAATTGGAGAGTATAATTCTTTCGGTTATCCCAAAGGCACACATGCAGGTTCATCGTCTTGCTGAAGACGATTGTTTAGATGTATGATGAGATCCGGACTTGTTTTTAGAAGACTTGTGACCCTGGCAGATTGGAACAGGGATGTGCCGAGATCCATACTTGTTAAACTCAAAGCTTACGTATGTAATGAGCCAGATGTCATGATTGAACTGTTGTTCGTTAACACATCAAATTTTCGTTTACTACGTTATCCCTAAGTCCGAATCTCTTCAATATCCAAACAGTCGTCTCGGGTGAGATGACGGGTGTGCTTGCATAAGTCCGAATCTCTTTAACATCCAAACAATCGTTTCGGGTGAGACGATGGGTGTGTTTGCATTAATTCCGCATATAGGCACGCTCATCATCTCGCCTGACATGAGGGCACTGATATCCATACTTATTTACAGTTGTGATGGGCAAGGTGTATTCAATAACCACTTAATTTCGATATTCTATGTACAAGTGTAGAACTTTAAATTGTGCTCCATCACGATGAATATCCGCATTTTAAATGGTCATGCAAAGAAGGTTTGGGCATCCACTGACCAATTTCACATAAGATGAGATTTCTCATTCATCCACCAACAAGTTTCACAATCATGTTTACACTTCCAGTTCAACAGAATTCGAAACATGGAACACAATACTTCAACTTGAACAGAATTCGGAACATGGAACATTACGTGACATAGATTACAAAGCCCATACATGACGAAGGACATGCATTGAGCTTGTTGTAGATAACGCGAACTAAGAACGATAAAAGAAAGCAATGCCTCTGGCAGAAGGACAGTTGAATAATGTCTCGATTTACGAAATTTAACGATCAACGAATGGAACACCTTAAAAAAAAGTTTCGAAGTCAATCAAATCCATCAAAGACAACGATGTTCTAAAACACATGATGTTAATTGTCGTCTAAGAAGCGGAATATCTTTACAAGAGAACCGGAAAGGCGGTCGATCTCCACGTTGCAACAACGTCGCATACATCAACATGAACACACCACAGCTTGCTCCATCCACTTGTCTCGGAACTCCATCCAGCACAACATTTCTCATTATGGACTTCCAATTCCTACCCGACCGCCTATGTGATGTTTGACGTTCCATATACTGCACAATCAACTCGAAAACGCTAAGGGAAAAACTAGAATCAGCTACAATGCGAGGAAAATAATCAAAAATTTCGAGAACATCATCTCTCATGTTGACGGAAACGAGGATCCTGTGATCATCATCTTTGAGGACAGGAACGAAGATAATATCATAACGAAGCAAATCTACGTTTTTAGTCCACCTCTGCACCCCACCGTGTCCTTGAAGTCGCAGTTTACTGAAGAAGAATGAATTAAAGCTGAAGACTTGAAGGCCAGAAGAGATGTCACGTGACCCACATGCGGTCGACCCCAACAACGCCATATAGAAATTGACCACCTCATCATTTACCCTGCCGTTGACATGCGAGAAGGTGAGGAGATCTTTTGCTGCAATCCGAAATTGACCATCGCCCAGTATAGAGAGAATAGTGTTAGACGGCACCGAGCCTCGTACAATGTCGTCCAAAGCCCGCAAGCTCAGAGGCGCAATCGTTGCAGCGAAAGTTTTCCCGCGTGCTTCACTTGTTGCCCACACTGCACAACATCGAGCAAAGGACATGTGGGGTAGTGAGAAACGGAGTTTTAGGCATTGTCCCCCGGTGCATGACGCGTTGCTAAGTACTTCTCATACATGGCTTGACCCCTACTCACAGATCGTGGATATGACCCTTTCTCTGGGGCAAGAAGGGAAAGACATTCCTCAATGGCAACGGTGTACTCCTTCTTCCCGATTTTGACATCAACCCCTGATGCCTTTAACATATCCTTATGTTTTGTACTTAACCCGGGGACTTTCTGCAATATGTGCTCTGGATATTTGGAGGACCTCCGTGTTCGAGACGATACCACCCCTGTACAAGAGAAGAAAGACAAAACGGAAAATGAGAACCATACATTCGTACAGACGCAACAGTCAAGCAGGACCTCTCCGACCACAGGACCCTGATCTCACGTGGTCATGTACACCCAGGTGCGGTTGTGCGACTGGAAAACAAAACGACTGCAACATCCGAGCTTATCACCCCCGCACTTCGTAAAGGAAAACCACCACAACTCACAGAAGCCGGAGGCCAGCAATCCCCGAAGTTCGGACTGCGGCGGACTTTTCAATACACCAGCCCCACTGAGACTGACCACATCACGCATCGACAAAGGAAGCTCGGATCCCGACGGACTAAAACCGGCACTATTTCCGAGAAGGAAAAACTGTCAGTCCATCTACTTGGCCACTTTCTTAGCACCTTGGAGATAGTCAAGCAGGACCTCTCCGACCACAGGACCCTGATCTCGCGTGGTCATGTGCACCCAGGTGCGGTTATGGAACTGGAAAACAAAACGACTGCAACATTCGAGCTTATCACCCCCGCACTTCACAAAGGAAAACCACCACAACTCACAGAAGCCGGAGGCTAGCAATCCCCGAAGTTCGGACTGCGGCGGACTTTTCTACACACCAGCCCCACTGAGACTGACCACATCACGCATCGACAAAGGAAGTTCGGATCCCGGCGGACTAAAACCGGCACTATTCCCGAGAAGGGAAAACTGTCAGTCCATCTACTTGGCCACTTTCTTAGCACCTTGGCCACTTCCTCAGCCGGGGCAGATCCTTCCTTGGATGGAGTGTAAGGTTTTGGACGAAGTTTTCGCCGCCCTCGACTAGCAACCCGGCCGAGTCACGGATAGGCCGACGAGCTGGAGTAGGAAGGGTTGTACGCTGTAGCATGCCGGCATCCGGAACTTCCCGTATGCACAGACAGTGTGGACAGTCGTCGTGTGTATAGCGCGGCCTGTAATCCGGTGACATCCGGATGCGCAGGCGTTCTTCACAGCTTACCAGTCTGTTTCTCTCTCCACTCCTTTGATGGTGAATTTGGCGCAGGCAAAGCGAGCACGTCGAGAGCTTGACCTCCAAACCTCGATTTTTTTGGGGACGTCACATGTTGTCCTCCACTGAACTCGCCTTCCCCTTCGGCGGCAAGGGTGGCCGGCAGCACCAGAGACTTCGGCGGCGACAAAGCGAGGGCAGCTGCCACGGAAGATGCGACGTTGGCAGTTGCGGACGGACGACCAGACACATTGTGGTCGCCGAGAATACCGTCGATAACTTCGTCGATGCTTATACGTCGACTTTTTTCAAACGGGTTGATAGCGACGGAAGCCTCGTCGAACCGGTATTGCAAGTCGACAGCAGACATCAGTGGCCGGACCGCATAATCTTCAGGCTCTGCGGAAAGGCTGCTGACCACTTGTGTCTCCATCTCTATTGCCGTGGCATCGTCGTCGACATCATCCTCGTGATGCTCTCCGTACAGTTGTCCGAACTCGTCAAACGACTCTCCAGATCCGGCATTGTCCTCACTGTATTCCACTTCGCCTTCTCCAGACCTAGCACCCTCCCTTCCTTCAAACAAATCAATTAGCTCCGTTTCTCCCTCTTCCTCCCCTTCCACCTTTTCTTCCCCTTCTTCCTCCCCTTCTTGCGCTCCCTTCTGTTCCTCCATTTTCTCCCCTACTTCCCTCCCACGAAACTCGTCCCCTTCTGCGGTACCCGTGCCGAATCTCGAGGACCGCCCTTCCGTCCCCGTGCACGCTGCCCCTCTCAACGGCACGACAATCCCTGGCCGACAAACCCCGCCCGAAGAAGTTCGGATCTCGGCGGACTTCGTGGTCTCCGTGTCACCGGACCCTCCACTTGCAGCCTCCCGCTGCAATCCTTGCGGCCATCGCTCCCGCTCAGGCGACACCTTTCCGACGTCTCCGTCCCGCGCCGCAATGCTGCAAATTTCTCGATCCTTGCTTGGATCCCCCGACCCCGAGCAGCTTCGCATTCCGGACCGCTTTGGCGGCTCCTCACCCTACGTAGTTCGGATCTTGGCGGACTTCGGTTTTCCGGCCGAGCGACTGCCCAGAGCAACCAAGGCTGCCAACGTGTCCCTCGCTGAGCCCACGGACGAAGTCGGGGGGTCGGCRGAGTGTGTCGTATGCTTGGGCCGGGTGCCTGTCGACGGAGTCCGGTCGACGGCGAAACCYGCCACCCCGGCGCTGCCTCCCGGTGTCGTGTTGCGGTCGTGAGACCCTCTCTCCCCCATAGGCGGGATTCCTTTGCCACCCCCTGCGCCGCCACCCCCATCCCCTCCGCTTCCAAGTGACCCCCCCCCGGAACCACTGTCCGGCCCACTGGGAGGGGGCACTTTCCAGTCCACCGGCCCACTGGGTTGATTGGTTGATTGATTGATTGATTAATTGATTGATTGATTGATTGTTGGGGGAGGGGTCCTCCCTCCTCTCCCCCCGACACACACACACACACACGTGCGTCCACACACACACACGCGCGCGCGTTCACACACACACATGCGCGCGCGTCCACACACACACGTGCATGCGCGTCCACACACACACACACACGCGAGCACACACACACATACACACACACACACACACTCACATACAGTCCTCATTGGCCTTTGACAACAGAATCAAGACTCCGATATATGTATATATATATATATATAAATATTTATATATATATATATATGTATATGGATATATATATATATAAGAAAACCTTTCAGTATGGAACTCCTATAATAATGTCGAGGTTCGTACGCTTCACCTAAGCTGCGAACACGTATGAGGCAATTTTTAGAATTTTAATAAGTACCTGATAAATAAAGAGTTTTTAAGATAATTTTTTTAAGAAAAAGATAAATAAATTACGAATGAAAGAAATCCCCCCCTGGTCTATCTGATCACCTCAACACGAATCCCTGGTCGAATAGTGCATTAGTCATCTGACTTATAATTATCGGTAGCCTCTTCCTATTTTTTTTGGCCCACAAATGGCGCTGGACCTGCTAAGATATACCCTGACCCTTCGGCCCTACTACGGAAACCATTAGGAAAAGTGGTATTTAAGAGAAAAATTAGTTTAAGACTAATCCTCTTTCTCGGGTGTGCCAAGCGCGCCTATACCAGTGCGTGTCTCGACTTTCAGATGCTCGCCGGTATAGTCGCGATCGACACAGTCGATTCACACGCATTCTGTCCGTACCTCTATGACGCGTATGAAGCATGCGTTACTCGTCGTTTCTGCTACTATCGGGTGTGAGCTATCTTCCTCCCTCTTTGCGTCATTCCCAAGGGTTTCCATAGCTCTTTCCGCAAGGATCGCGATCACATGCTCCTTGCTTCCTGTGGGAGCTTCCGTTGAGCTTACCCCTGTGCTCGCGATAGCATTTGGTCCAAAGAGGATCCTGTGACCTCATCATGGACGCAGCCCTCAGTTTTGAAGAGATGCTTCATTTGCATCTATCGGAAGATGGAGTCGCCGACCATGCATCCAAACCGGAGGTGATGTGATCGCCCCAGCTGCTTGAACTCTCCACCTCCACCTCCTCCCCCTCCACCCCCTCCCTTCTTCTTCTCAAGCTCTTCTTCATCTTCTTTCACTATCCTCCTATCTATCTCCCTTTCGTTCGTGGTATCTCCGTCAACTGTCTCCTCTATCTTATTTCGATCTATCCTAGGATGGGTTCTCATACATCTTTTTAGTTGAAGTTTAGTCACATGCTGTGCTGTCCAAATATCGGACACCTCTGACGAGCTAATCTGTGACAAGATTAGCGAAAAACATGTTTAAGGGATGATTGTCACTACCCTAGCCGGATCTGACTATACTTTTTCTCACCTACCCTCTGTGTGGTACAATGGTGATTGCAATAAGAGGACAAATGAGAACCAAGTAATCTTTCGCTGTGATAGGTTAACTCTGAATCTTGCGATTTCTCATCACTGTGTTGCCTGTTGCCCATTGAATTATTTTGGCTGTTGCATGTTTTAAATGTTGCATGCGGGGTGATTCGTTGGGATTGAGGGAAGTGGTTTAAATTTGTGATTATGATTGTTGTGTGGTGAGGCTATGCTTTTTGATGAGAGGATCTCCTATCTCAAGCAGCGTTGATGAGGATCGTGATCTGCATGACTGTGTTAACACGCACCGACCATGAGACTATGTGACGTCAAAAGTGGGGTCGGGCTGTTCCTAGTGACCCGAGAATCTATATCACGTAAATATAGGATTTCAAGTTATGCTAATGTCGGATAGGGATTTGTTGATTGGTTCATCGAGTGGTTATTTCTTAGCTCTTCTCGAGCCCCGATGCAAGGGAGTGAGGTTTTCCTGAGTACGATAGGAGTGGTAACTATGAAGGAGTGGGGCGTGTATGCGTGAATAAGCTCTGTCTATAAAGTTATTTAGAGCGCCCACAACAGTATAGATTATGACGAGACATTCTGCTTGCGAGATACTCTGTGGGTCTGTTGAGTGGTAGTCCGAATGTGCCCTTCAATAGTCTCTATACATTGAGAGTATTTTCGTGACTTTTGGTCGGTGAAGACGATTGCGCACGGGAGAAACTGTGGTTGATTGGGTCCGCTCCCTACTTTCATTGAAATAAGTAGGCATGTATCATTTCCTAGACCTCCTCGTCTTCGTCTTCCTCCTCCTCCCCTTCTTCTTTTTCTCCTTCTTCCTCCTCCTCTTCCTTCTTCTTCTTCTTCTTCTTCTTCTTCTTTTGCTTCTTCTTCTTCTTCTTCTTCTTCTTCTTCTTTCTTCTTCTTCTTCGTCTCCTTCTTCTTCTTCTTCTTCTTCTTCTTCTTCTTCTTCTGCTTCTTCTTCTTTCTTCTTCTTCTTCGTCTCCTTCTTCTTCTTCTTCTTCTTCTTCTTCTCCTCCTCCTTCTTCATCTTCTTCTTGTTCTTCTTCTTTTTCTTCTTCCCTTTTTTTTTCAGCATCTTCTTCTCCTTCTTCCTCTTCTTCTTCCTCCTCTTCTTCTTCTTCTTCTCCTTCTTCTTCTTTCCTTCGGAGTGGTCGATCGTGAAGGTAGGGCATCTAGTCAACGTTGTTACTGTATATATTCGGATGAGCAGAGAGACTGTTTTCGGCATTGACCCCTGATACACGGATATGACCAATGAACGTGAAATTTTGTGTATTATTTGGTCATCGGGTGCTATATTACTTACCTTCTCTCTCAAAGAGTGCTTCTTGTAAAGCTTCGGTTACCACAGCACTGTGTGTTTTTCATGTAGAGAGATATGTACCCCAGCACTGGGTACGATCGAGGGACTGCTACATCCGTGTAAGTAGAATCGAGGCATGAGGATCTTGTTAAAAAGGGGTAGGGTAGCTCAACTCTGTAGACGATCGTGAGTCCACGACTTGTGTTTGAGGATGGTTGAGGTATGAGAATCCTGCTATATTCGAGTGTGTGATTCGCCTTGGGAAATTATACTACGTTGAGGGAATTGTTTTTCGCGGAGTGTTGTCTGATGAAGGGTATGACGATTGGAGCACTTCCGAGACTTTATTGATAATAATGAGTGTGTGCAGAGTCTTATTTTCAGTGTTCTAAATCATGATGAGGAGTATATGCGATCGTCCTCCATGAATCTTAGTCTCAAGATGCTCACTCTTCTCTTCTTTTCGTTCGCATTCTCATATTTGACCTCTTCTTCGTCGTTGTCATTGACGTCGAAGTCTTCTTCTTCGTCTTTGTCTTCATCTTCTTCTTTTTCTTCTTCTTCTTCTTCTTCTTCTTCTTCTTCTTCTTCTTCTTCTTCTTCTTCTTCTTCTTATCCGTGTCTCTTCGTACTTCTCCCTGTCCTCCCCTTCGTATTCTTATTCCTCTTCCTCCCCTTATCCGTTGTCTGTACCCACTCATCACTTCCTGTATGAACTTTATAGAAAGAGCATAGTTACTCAGCTTCCGGTGTAACCGCATAAAATCTAGTGTATAGGATGATGAATGTAATGGGTCTTTCGAGAGGATTATCCTGTGATGTGACAATGATTTGGTGTACATATGCGTTATGTACCAAGGAGCCTGTAATATGTGTTCATACACATCGACACACACACACACAACGACACCCGTGCACACACACACGCACACACACATACACACCAACACACACGCACACACACCCACACACACCCACACCCACCCACACACACACCCACACACACCCGCGCACGCACACACACACACACACACACACACAAACTAGCGCATTCATTTTTTTTAATTCTAATCAATCAATCAACCAATCAATCAATCAGTTTGTTTGTCTATCGAAAACGAAAAAAAAAAGGAAAAAAGAAAAAAAAAAACTTTTTTTTTTTTTTTTTTTATGTCTTTTTTTTTTTTTTTTTTTTTTTTTTGCATATGTAGGAAAAAAAAAAACAATCAAAGAATCATGTGCACCATGACTATCCCACCGGCAATCAGAAAAAAATGAAAAAAAAAAAAGTTCCCTCCTTTTTTATTGTTTCTTTTGATTTTAATACTTCATTTTTTCGTTTTCAATTTTTTTAAATCATTAAGGACATCAAAAAAAATAAAAATAATTATAGGGAGGTAGGGTTTTTGAAACCCTACAACCCCATTTTGTTTTTCTTTTTGTGGCCTATTATCCTAGGAATTAAAAATGTCGGGGTTTTCCGACCACACTTGGCCTCAGCGGTTGGCCCCGGTGGGCATGATCATGGCCGTAATGCCATACGACCTAAAAGTCTGCGGTCATGACCGCGGGTGATACATAGGATGGAGGGCAGCAGCGACGATGGATGTGTGAAGTTGACTTCGATCGAGAAGATAGTCGTGGTGGTAGTCGTGACGACTGTGCTCTTTCGTTATCAGCAGGAGACGACATTGGGCGGGATCCACGCATGGAGGAGGAAGACGCTTCATCAAGTCCCGATTGAAGGGCTGAATACCGTGGCCATCACTGAGGTCAGCGGCTGTAGTTCAGGTTTTCTGCGCCATTGGTTGCAATGTTCTTCCACGAGCGA